AGTAATTAGGAAGTTGAAGAGTAGTGGGCTCTTCCTATATGTACCCACTCCCAGAATAGTTGTCATTCTTCATCGTATTATCATTCTGAAAGAAAACAAAAATCTGTTCTTGCGTTCTATTTTCCCTTTCGAATACATCCTCTACATCATTACTGGAAAAACTTACTTCTTTATCTATTTTAGGATATTTTCGGATATAGAAGATGATTATTACAAACAGAAATAGAAATCAATCCCAATGCATAGTCACAGATGTAGAACCCTGGCCTCGAATAAACAATACCTGGCAGTTTATCCCCATCAGAGCCTTCAAGAACTTCCAAGTAATGCACAAAAGAAGGAACAACAACTTCAAGCTTTCCATCACTAAGGTAAAAAATAAGAAAATATTTCAAGACCTACGATCGACTCAAAGAGAACATAGGCAGAAAAACATATATCAAAAAAACTTGCAGAACTACAAAAGTGTAGTGCTTCTAAAATCCAACCGCACCTCAACAGATGGAAAAAATAAAAAATAAAAAAGAGAAGTTACAAAGATCATCTTCCTTTGCACCTATAAATAAGCAACCAAATCTAGAATAACAATAATACAGAATTTGAATATGAGAATTGTGAAAATGCAACATGAGTTAGGTGAATAAACATAGTAGAGATTCACAAAGCAGAAAATCCCTTCACATCACCTGTTAATGTCGGCAATCAAAGGTGAAGCATATACACTAGAACTCACTTCAGTCTGCCACCTCAGTTCCAAGTGCCGAGGGCATTGTGTGTTCAACAGCTCATCTTCATCACTAGGCACACAAAACCATCAAGCATATTGCATCACTAAAATTATAAAGCTAATCACATTCACCAGAAATGCTTATATGCAACTGCCCTATCAGCAACTGATTGATACACTTTATCAATTAACCAAAAAAAAAAAAAAAACAGGAACCCTCTTACAGATAGCAATTCAATTAGGAAAAAATAACGAAAAAAGTTCAAGACTTTACAAATCCAATCAGTAATGCCGAAAATGCTTAAGGCATTGCGTGTTCAACAGCTCATCCACATCACTAGGGGACACAAAATCATCAACCATAATGCATCACTAAAATTGTAAACTTCAAATCACAATCACCAGAAATGCTTACATGCAGCTGCCCCGTATCAAACACTGACTGACACACGATTATCAATTAAACATATAGCAATTCAATCAGGAAAAGATAACGAAAAAAGCTCAATACTTTACTGATCCAATCAGTAATGCACAAGAGTCATAAACTCACAAATTGGGGTAACCTAGGGCATCGTCAGTGGCCTCGCGATCGCGAAACTTGTTCTTTTTGGGCTCCTCCGGTTGGGAAACGCCATAACCGAAACTCAAACACGACAAAGTGAAAACAAGGAAAATTAGAAGCAGCAAACTCCAGGTTTTCATGAATCAGGGGCAAGAAAAACCCAAGATTTCGGTAAAAATTAGGGTTAGGAGCACGAGCTCGTTCTAGTCAAAGCAAAGTGGTGATGGGTTTTGGAGATCGCTCAGATGAAAGTGAGAGTTTGGAGCAAAATCGAGAGTTTAGAGAGGAATCGACAATTTTTTTTTTTGTTTTTTTATTTTTATTTTTTTACGTCATTTATTCTCTTTCTATTTAATAATTTATTTATTTGTACCTACTTTGTATGGAATAGTGTGAGGAAATGAGATCCATATAACAATATTTTAAGTGAAACGCTAAACACCGCCCCCTTTTCGATTATTACCGCCCCCA